GGTTTTTGTGAGCTGGAGTCTGAACCGCAGACGGCAAGGCAGGCTGCACAATGAAAGCAAAAGGCATCCATCCCAAACAAAATAAAATGGCTTGAAAAGTGAAGTTGCTTTTTTAATCAGATGCTTGGAGGCTGAAAGACCTTCCCTGCTGGAGAGAAAAGGGCGAGCGCAGAGAAGGCTGGCAGCTTTCCAGGCAGTGGACAATATTGACTCTAGAATAAAATGGGTTTTGCTTAGTGCTCGCCCCAGGGTACCAGCTTCTCTGCTTTGGAATAAATCACGCGATTCCTCAGCACGGGCTGACCCTGGGGTGGCAAATCGTGTGCCACAGCTCCCCTCTGCCAGACACACAGACACGAGCTGGCGAGGGAAACATACAGCCTGCTCAGAGGCAGCGCCCAATTCCCCTGCTTGCCGCCACCTTGGGCTTCAGCCCACGACACGTGGTGGGTGCTACACCACCTCAGACCATTTTTAACGTGATGCAGCTCAACTCTGCGTGCTCCTGGAGGGCAAAGCAAGCTGTCAGCAAATCCGGTCCAAAAATGGACTCGTTATCTAGACTCTTTTGCCACCCTAAAGTCAAGCCCAAAAGCTAAAGCTCTGATCTGGAAACAAGCATTTAAAGAACTTCACTTCAATGTGAGCAGCAGGAAGGTCACTGTTTGCATTCCAAGCAGGGGCAAAAAAATTAATTTTGAAACCACAAAAGCCGATGCCAGTTGGTGGTGCCTTCTGGATGCTTCTGGTTAAGTGCAGCACTGTACAGCTCCTCCAGCCCCACGGGATCCTGAGAGGGGAGTCCTGGAAGGAGCCACTGTGCCAGTGAGGGACACAGTAAGATAGAAAACCAGGTTCTGGGAGGGTGTCTAGGTTACAGTAAGAGCAAAGCACTTCAAAATTGTTCACACTGGGTTTACCCATGAGTAAAGAAAACCTGATCAGCTGTGTCTTAACTTTTAAATAAAAGGTGGAGACAGAGAATACTAATTCTGTGCAGCCCTTTAAAGGAGCAGTTATCATCAAGTCTGGTTTTTTTCTCCCCCATATATTTCTACCTCAGGCTACTTACACCCCTTTTTTAGCCCTGGCAGCACTTTGCCTATGTGGCCATCGAGTCTTCCCTGATGCTTCTGTTGCCAGGACTTGTCCAAGCCACCAGAACTACCCTCTCCTCAATACACATTTAACCTCTGCAAGCCACAGGCCTGCAAACCCCAGCCCAGAGCCCCAGCTGTGAAAGACTGTCAGTAACACAAACATCTGCCAGCAAATTACGGCCTGAGACAGCTCGGAGGCTTGGTCAGCAGGAGACACAGCTCTTCAGGTGCCTTGCCAGCTACAGTACGTGCTTTGCAATGGCTGCTCAACCACAGCATGTGTGGGGCGAGGGTACAAGAGGGGCAGCTCCCACCTAAATGTGATTTATTTTAGATATATCTAACACAGAAGATTTCTCATCCCAGCCACCACTGCAAAGAAAGGAGAGAGGGTGAGAGAGCCAAAGGGAGAAGGGAAAGGCTGGTCTCAAAGCAGTTACACGCAGTCTGGACTAGCGATGCGGTACACATTGCTGGATCAGTGGTTGTCCTAATGCTGTGGGGAAACTTGGCAGCTCTGCTACCACTGTGGGCTGCTGAGACAAAGCCAGTGTGGAAACTTCACACGAGGGGAAAAAAAAAAGAAAAAAGAAAAAGAAAAACGCCAAGTGCATTATGACAGACCCAAAGACAATAACCTTTTGTAATCCAATGGCTGGGCAAGCCAAGCCATTGTTGAGAGTCTGAAAAGCTCCAGAGCACCAGAGAAGGGTAAAAATGAAGAAAAAAAAAAAAAGAAAATCATGCAGCTTCAAACAGAAAACACAGAAAGTGTCCTGAATTCTAAACCAGTTCATTTTCCTGAGGAAACATCAGAGCAGAGAGGGTTTTACACTCTCTCACTAAATGAGCCAGTAATTAACTGTAAAAGTGCCTGTTTCGTCACCTGCACCTCTCTACATGTACAGGTAAATGTCAACACACAGTGAAGTCACTGACCAAAAAAAGGTTCACACAATTGATGTTCTGCATTGCAAGTGATGAAAGTCTGGCAGCGGTTTAGTGTATCAAGCTCTGGCCGGCCAAAGCTCCATCTGACGTTTTCTAGAAAAGGAATATATATGCTAATTTAGTCTCCACGATAGATACTGTCCTTAGAAACAAAGGCAGAACAGACGTGTCCTCAGCCACTGTGTCTTGATGCAGCAGTTAAATTTGGGAATTAGAAAGGCAAGAAAATAGAAGCAAAACCCTTGAAGCGGAAAATGGCCACTGTGAAACACCAGTCACTTCAAACCATCACCTCTGAGGGCCCACCAAGCTGGAAATCTAACATCTTGTCCACAATCTCAGCCATTAAGATTGACCCAGACTTTTAGATAAATAGAAATAGATTGCTTCTCCTCTGCTTTAGGAGATCACTGCACACAATTTGATGGAAAACAAGACTCCTTTGGGCAAGCACCCTACAAAAAGAAATGGATCCTTATTCAGAAGGGCTCTGATTTAGATAAATGTATGGTGACAGAGCAATTCCCCTCACCATTTTATTGTCCTGAGGTGAACAAAGAAAGAGGTAACTGGTGTACGAGCTGTGGGCTATGGAACAGATAAAAGATTCCGATTTTCACATTCAGGACAAAACCGCAGCCCCCATTTTCCACTTCCAGCCAGAGGTCAAAAGGAACAGCAGGGAGAGAGAGTCTCATCAGAGCCTCCACACGGTTCTGCTTGGCACAGGCCACCTCTGCCTGGGACAACACCGAGGTGAATTCAGACTTGAATTTTCAAGTCACTGTTTAAGTACTTATGCTGGAATAACTGCTTACAGCTAGGCATATTTGTGCTAAACTGGTGGTAATTTTTGCATTGACCATTTTAGAATGTGTAACTGGATCAACATGTATCCTACACTTCAGGAAATTCAGAAAAATCAACAGGAAAATAAACTCTCTTCTCCCCCCTGCCATATGCTAGAGTTAACGGGGTTCACACACCAGTACTGAAAAACAATACATTGAATCAAATCTGCCATCCGCTTAGATTTACCCAGCTTACTCATTATTTACATTTAAAATTTGCATTCCTTCTTGTTTATCTTTCTTCTAATACCAAACAGTATTAGCTATGCAATAACCATTTTGAAAAAGGTGAAGTGCTATGCACAGATTCACAAATTAGGTACAAGCTGATATACGGAATTCTCTGTTTAATTTTTAACCATTCCAACTCTGTACGCATCCCAGCCTTCCACTGGTGACTCTGACTGGAAAAAAAAAATCACAGTAAGCAAAACTTCCACTGAGCTTTTTGACATGGCTCTCAACTTCATTTGGAACCTGTAACGTGCGCAAATCTTTTCCTCTTCATGCTTTACTTGGTATTTATTGATACCAAATTTGGTCACTGTGATATCCATTGATGTAAATAACTTAATTCTTTGCACTTCCTCATGGCCCTCCTTGTTTATTAGGAAAAGAGCTGTGGTGTCACCTGCCAATGCTGCAACTTCAATCATTCTAACCTCATTTCCTTTCCAGACTGTGAAACAACTGGGGAAATGGAAAACAGCTCTCACAAACCTGGAGAAACCCTCTTTGCCTTCCAGCCATGATGAAAGAATTTTGCTCTTACCCTCCTCTCAGGAAGCTCTTGGCCTATGCTACTTCTGGAGCTGTCCCCCAAATTACAAGGTTGGGTTTTTTTTGTTTTGTTTTGTTTTTAATTCCCAGTAGCATCTCACATCTTGAAAAAGAGCTTTTGGAAGTCTACATAAAGCCATTCTCTATTGATGTCTTTAGAGACATTCAGGAGTTTATTAAGAAAACTCCTATAGCAGAAACTGGGAAAGTGTCTCATGATCTTCCAAGTGTTTTGCTGTTTAAGTCCTCAGTTGATCCAACGTTCTCATTCTGTTCCTCTTCTTTTGCTCATGCCTGTAGCCCTTTTAAAATGTGAAGTCATCATTCTCAGGGTGAGACTGCATATTATACTAGCAGCTGTTCAAGATGATGGACAGTGATAGTTATTCCCAGATTAACATGTTCTGTACAAACACTCCAGATTAAAACTAAACTTTTATCATTATTCTGCCATTGAAACATCATTATATTTATGGTCTATAAAGTATGGGACAAATCAGAAGCATGTGGAGTTGTAGTTGCATATGAGCATCCAAGTCTCCAAACATACAAGAGTACAGGCTTTTTAATCCCCTCCATTCTTCCCTCCCCATCCTGCTAAGGATGCTGAAACACAAACAGCTTGGAAGTGAATTTGCATATATACATTTGCATGTATAGGGTCTTTGCTTTCACAGATCACACACAGAGCCCAAAACAGCAAGGATTAGGGTGTCTCTAAGGGAGTGGGAGTCACTTGAGAAGAAGTCTCTTAAACCAATACAAAACAATAAAGACATTTAGCCAGAGACAAAAACCTCATCATTCTTCCTGTCTTCACTTCATTGAGTCAATGCTGTTCATTCAAACTTTTTCATTTTAGGCTGGCCCATCTCTAAAACAATTCCTCAAGGGTTACTCAAATCAGGGGTCAGCTGCACTGGAGTATGGAAGGCAGCTCTTCCCTTCTGCAAGTGTTCCTTAGCATGCAAAGGCATGATGGCCCACTGATCCAGATTTTATAAAAAGCCACTTCCAAGATAGGAAAGTTGTGTAGCTTTCAGGAAGACCCCTGGCGTGTCTTCCCCTTTATGTGTTTGCTCTGCTTTGAGTGCTCACACATTAAAATGAACCAAGGTTCTGGCTCTGGAGAAAGGTCAACTTACTTAAAACACTTACTTGTAACAAAAATATATCTGAAAGTAGGAAATACCTTTCCCTTTAGTACAGGGGTATACACATCCATGTTTGATGCAGTTTACACTAATCAAAGACACACACAAAGCATGCATGGGTTTCGGAGAAGGCTGACCCCTTGCTGAGAAGGACACAGTCTTACCAGCCAGTCATGTTGAAGTCACGGTAGAGCATCCTCTTTCCAACCTCCTTGCGCTGCACCCTCCGTGGAAACTCTAAATGCGTGAACTCATTTCCCAGTAAGTGGGGCTGCATGTAAGCCTATGGGCAGAAACCAAGCCACAGATACCACACAAATATTATGATGTTATATATAACAAGACATCATCTATATTTAATAAGGCAGTTTACACTCTCTTCCCACACACTTTTACCCCCTTCTTTTTAAACAAGGAAGAAGACAAGTCCCATTTCAGTGAGCGATGTGACATGTTCTGACATGGCCTGGTGTCCAGCAGCAGCCTTACAAGGAGAGGTCCTCCTGCCCTTAAAATCTTTCACTACTCCTCCCTGCTCCTTGACATTTGGGATCTCTAAAGTATGCTCAGTCTACTGACCCTGAAGGAGTCTGGAGAGCTTTGTGAAACAAAACACATCTCCTTTTGTGACTTAAGAGAAGGGAACAGTCAAATGAGCAAGCAGAGACTTGGAGGGGTGCGTGTGGAGCAAAGCTCAATCTTTTTGACTCCCAGTTCAGCTATGCCAACAACAACGCACACAACCTAATACTACCACCACACTTTAATTGTCACTGCCTCGACAAATACGTTCCCTTTTACCTGCTTAGCATGCTGCACCCCATCACATGAGACACTGCAAACAAACACAAGTTGCAGAGCACTTTATTTTCTTTTTTGCTTAGAACTACTTCCTTCGTACAGAACAGACATTAAGCAAAGCAGCAGCGTTTTTGTGTCACAACTTCAACTAATGTTTTTGACAGCGTTAATGTTTCACTGCTGCTGCCTATTCTGGTGTTGCTGCTCTGCAGATGCTGGGACGCCTCTTTGCTACAGCTATGCCCGAGCCTCATGTGTTCCAGAGGTGACCGTGCTCAAGAGCATCGCAAGGCTCTTCATTCACCACACAGATTTTTGGTTTGGATTTATACACAGATCATCTGACATGACAGGTTAATCCTTAAACATATCGTATTTCTTCTTTCTGAAATAAACCTCATTAATTTTTCTTTAATATTTGCACAAACAAACCCTTCTCCTCCATCCCTAAAGCCACAATGTGAGCCCTTCTGAAGCCACAGTCAAATTGGCTAGAGAACTGCAAAAACTTTCATTTCTTAACCTTTCTGCAGATAACTCTTCTTCCTTATCCAGCCAGTCAAGGCAATAAAGTCTGTCTTATCTCCAGCAGCAGCTGCCATCAGGGCAGACCAAATGAGCTGGCTTTAGTTTGTGGGTTTGTTATAAATCTAGCACTCATCAAAGGTGAGCGGCAGGAAGCAGTGGAAGCCCTTATTGATCTACCTGGCAGCCATCATGCAGATACTTCACAATAAAATATTTCCTGCATTTAAGGGCCGAGTCTGCTCCCACTCAATTTAATAGGAGTTGGATCAGGCTCAGCATATCACAGTGCTAACCTGCCATCAGCTTGTCCTGTTCCTGTCGCCAGACATCCTTCCAGAAAACACCGCGAGCTTGGCTGAAATGGGGCTGAGGGAGATTGCTGTGTGTAGCACATGAGATTGGATTCTGTTTTCAAGAGGCGGCTTTCAAGCATTTAAGTGTGATCTTGACATTGTGATCCCTTCCTGGAACAGGAGCTCCATCAATTTCTCTCTCTGTGTGCAGTTAAGGGAGTTACACATTTTTCCCTGCACTTTACAGTCAGCCAAGGTCCCTTCCTCCATCAAAATACTGTTTTCAAGGACCCTCTAATTAGATCACTGTTCCTCATTACAGAAATGGTTGAAAAGCATTAGTGACTCTTGAGAGGTCTCGCAGTACTAGTCCAGATGAGGCTTTCCATACTTGCACAATTCTGGATTCTTTATTTAAAAGTACATATAAACATTTTTTTTAAAATTTTCATTCCAGTTGCAAAAAAGATGGAACATCCCTAATCACAGAATGGTTTGGGTTGGAAGGGACCTTAAAGATCATCCAGTCCAACCCCCCTGCCACGGGCAGGGACACCTCCCACCAGACCAGATTGCCCAAAGCCCTGTCCAACCTGGCCTTGAACACTTCCAGGTAGGGTGCATCCACAGCTTCCCTGGGCAACCTGTGCCAGTGTCTCACAGTAAATAATTTCTTCCCAATATCTAGTCTAAATCTACCCTCTTCCAGTTTAAAGCAATTACCCTTTGTCCTATTCACTACCTGCCCTTGTAAGAAGTTGCTCTACAGCTTTTAGACTGGATCTCATCCTCTCTAACAAGGAGGGTCTGGTCGAAGCAGTAAAGGTTGAGGGCTGCCTTGGTTGCAGTGACCATGAAATGGTGGAGTTCAGGATCTCATGTAGCAGAAACAAAATAACAAGCAGAGTTGCAACCCTGGACTTCAGCAGGGCAAACTTTGACCTCTTCAAGCAATTGCTAAGGGAAATCCCATGGGCAAAGCTGCTTGAAGGTAAAGGGGCCCAAGATAGCTGGGTAGCATTCAGGGACTGCTTCTATGAAGCTCAAGATCGGAGCATCCCGACACGTAGGAAGTCAAGGAAAGGAGCCAGGAGACCTGCTTGGTTAAACAGGGAACTGCTGGGTAGGCTTAGGTGGAAGAGGAGAGTTTACTGATCATAGAAGGAGGGGCTGGCCACTTGGGA